AGTTCATTTTCTGTTGTTTATCATAAAATAATTAAAACTAGGTGGTCTATAAGAAACACAATTTATTTGTTACTGTAGTTCTGAAGGCTGGAAAGCCCAGCATTGAGGGGCTGCATCTGGTGAGGGCCTTCTTACTGGTGGGGGTTTTCTGTACATTTCAGAGGTGGTTTAGGGTATCACACGGTGGAGGAACTGAGCAGATAACATGCTAGCTCAAGTCATTCTTCCTCTTCATATAAAGCCTCCAGTTCTCTATCCATGATTAACCATCAATTCATCAACCCAGAAATGGATTAATTCATTCATGAGAGCTTTGCCTCAGCACCTACTAAAGACCTCATCTCTCAATATTGGCACATTGGGGATTAAGCGGGTTTTGGAAGAAATGTTCAAACTATAGATAGCACTTATAGAAACAGACATTTATTTCTCACAGCTCTAAAGGCTAGGCAGTCTGAGATCATGGTACCTACAAGGTTAGGTTCTGGTAAGGGTTCTCTTTCTTGCTTACGGATGGTACCTTCTAGCTATATCCTCACATGGTGGAAAAGAGAATGCAGCTTTCCTTGACCTCATTCATAAGGGTATTAATCTCATTCATGTGGGCTCTATACTCATGACCTAATTATCTCCCAAATACCATCACCTCCTAATACCATCACATTGATGATTACATTTCAATATATGAATTTGGGGGGGGGACACAAACATTTCTCTATTGAAAACATCATGGAGACTAATATAGCTAGAGGAGAGTAAGATATTCAATTGTGGGAGATAAGGTCATAAAGTTAATGATATTTTCGTTAAGTATGTGTCTTGTGAGTCATTATAAGGACTTTTGTTTTCTAATTTGAGGGAGATGGAAAGCAACTGAAGGGGTTTGAGGAGAAAGGTGCCATAATCTGTGTCAAATACAGTTCTTTTGTTGAGAATCAAAAGAAACAAGACTGAGACACAGTCAGGATTGCAATAATCCACCACAAAGTTGCAATAATTCCAGTGAAAGATAGTGGCATCAGGGTCAAGAATGATAGCAGTGGAAGTGGTGAGATGTGACTACATGGTGAAAGTAGAGCTGACAGGATTTGCTGAAAGAGTACATGTGGAGTAAAATAGAGAAGCTAAGGCTGATTTCAAGATTTTGGCTTAAGTAGTTGGAAGAATGGAAGTTCCGTCAGCTGAACCAAGAAAAAGGGTGGGAAGAACAGGTTTAGGGGGCATATCAAGAGCTAATTTTAGATATGTTATATTAAGATGACTTATAATTCTAGTTCAGTGGAGAACTGGCTATGCATGTCTGAAGCTTGGGGGAGAGAATCATCTGGAGACATAAATTTGGTATTTATTTATTTAATATTTATTATTATTTTTTTTGAGTTGAAGTCTCTGTCACCCAGACTGGAGTGCAGTGGCCGCTCCTGGCCACCGCAGCCTCGACCTGCTGGGCTCCAGCGATCCTTCCGCCTCAGCCTTCCGAGTAGCCGGAATTAGAGGGACACGCCACCACACCCGGCTGATTTTTTTTTTTTTTTTAATTGTAGAGATGAGGTCTCACTGCCCAGGCGGGTCTCGAACCCGCGGGCTCAGGCAATCTACTCACCTCAGCCTCCCAAAGGCACAGGATCACAGGCTGAGCCACCGAGCCTGGCTTAAATTTGGTATTTAAAGCCATAATAGTGGATCACATAGGGTGTGGGTGTATATAGAGAATAAATCTGAAGGTTTAGTCACAGGGCACTCCAAAATTTGAGGTCAAAGCGAAAAGGAGGAACCAGACAAGGGGTCATCAGTTTGAAAGAAAACCAAACTCTTTTCACATTCAATTAAAGAATTTGTTTCTTGGACAAAAGAATCATGAAACCCAACAAATACTTCTGACTGTTCAATAAGTTGAAGCTTACGAATTGGCCATTAGATTTATAAGTGTAGGCTGGGCTCAGTGGCTCAGCCTGTAATCCCAGCGCTTTGGGAGGCCGAGGTGAGTGGATTGCCCAAGCCCGTGGGTTCGAGACCCGCCTGGACAACTTGTCAAGACCTCATCTCTACAATAAATCAAAAATCAGCCGGGCGTGGTAGCGTGCGCCTGTAGTTCCAGCTCCTTGGAAGGCTGAG